CACCCAACGACTTTCACCGAGAGTCCCAGTCGAACAATAAAATGTTCTACTCCTTCTCACACCTTCGCGCCTCTTTTTTTCGATGGTCTGAGCTAATTACTTAACATGATTATGCCACACTCGGGCAACAAAAAGGACGTCAGGGGTGAAATTCAAATGGGAGGAAAATCGAAAGAATTTTCATCAAGCAACTTACAAGAAAACATGCAAGGCTATTAGAGTCGCATTATCGTGAGAGCGAAAGGGTGGAAGGCTCGGGAGAATTTCCTCACCTTAAATTTTTATGAAACACTGTAACACCACATGGAATTGAGACGACTGTTCTACCATCAATTTTAGTCTTTTTGTGCTATTTTTCATATACATTTCTTCTGAGAATGAGGGGGCGTGAGGGTGGAATCCACCCTCGCCCTTTCGCCTAATGAATAAATCAACCAACCCGAAAAAAGGCCTCGCACTGAAGCGAAAAGAATGAAGAGATACTGAATTTTCATTTCACATTATTCTTGGTGATGTAATTTCAGATATGAAGAATTTTTCCGGCACTTTTCGCAATAAATTGAAAAAATTCACTTCATGGAAAAAGTTTTTCAGCATTATAACCGTGATTTCCTTTTTTAATTATGAAAGACACAGTGTAATTATTAAACGATGAATGGAATGGAACAATCGATTTTGCATATTTGAATCCACATATAATGGATCCATTTGAACATACAGCTTCAATTCTAATTTATAGTCACTTGACTAATTTAACTAATCAAGTCACTCTTTATTCCAGTGTGGCATAGCCTTCATTCTGCACACTCCATTCGCAATCAGACAAAATATATTTGAATAATGGAGGGTTTTAAGAGAATTCTAGTCTTGCATTTTTCAGTCACTTCGCGAATCCCCGAAAATCCACTCAATATTGCTGGTTTATTCTCATCATTGTGGTGGCGAAAAATAACGAACGGCACAGACTTGGCATTTATCAGAAAACAATTGTATGGCGAGAGCTACTCGAGGTTCTATACTATTCATTCTGTACATTTCTCTGGACTTTTCCATCACGTTCCCGCTCTCCTCGTGCCGGACATGAATAATTTCACGCGGCATCCATTCCAATGGCGAAGTGTGGTCAAAGTGGAAATACGACCAGTCTCTCTCGGATGTAGCATATGTGCGAGAAAATCATATCCTGGCGCATTTTTTCACAATCAGCCCCACGTAGAAAATTCAAACACGTCCCTCCACTCACAATCAATCCACAGAGAAAATCTCAATTATTCATCAACTATATTTCCATTTGTGAGAATTTTTCGGAATTCGCCAATGCGAGGTGGAGCGCTGAAAGAACGACAGCCGCACTGAAATAATTGACAGACAATAATTTTCCCGGGGGTGAGTGAAAAGTCAAAATATTTATTTGATCGAAGATTAGCATTGGAATTTTGTGTTTATATTTTTTCAAAAATATAAACAAAAACATGATCTTTTCTCACGAAATGAAGTTCAAAAGTATCATATAGAATGCCATTAAATAATAAATTGCAAAGTGAAAAGGCCAAATTAAATATGTTGGGGAGTGTGGCTAAAATTAGACAAAAAATGATGCATTTTGTAAAGGCTCACGGTTATAATTTTCCAATTCGCGGAACCTACAAACTCCCCTATTTGCAACCACATCGTGCCTTCCATGGCCAGATGAGGGAGAGTTTTCTATTTATAGCTCTAATAGAGAGCGAAGGGGATCCTCGCGGAATACTCCGTGCTGTTGTTTCGCTAATATTGAAAGCCAGGGAGAATTTACATGTCGCTATTGTCGACCAGAAAATCTAGAACACTGTTGATAGCGAAATTTTCTTCCACACAGCGTCATGAGATGCATTTGCCTTTGATAGAGAAATCGTGGATTTATACCTTAAAGACAAATCCAAAATACTAATTACATTGGAAGAGTATTTTTCAAGTTTTTCACGTCATAAGAGAAAAACGGAAACGTGTAAAAAAATTTATTACCCTCCAAAGCTGTGTTGAATTCCCAAATGATAGACATGAGATGAAGCATATTGTCCACGCACCTGATCGCGTATCATGATAGTTTCCACCTCAAACTCCACACAAACTCTATGAGAATTTGCGCTTCCGTGGTCAGAGCGAATCGGAGAAGCGATTGATGTGGCGGATGGTGCAAAAATTGCCAAAGGCTGCCTCTGTCGAAGAGGCTCCAAAAGTTCCCCATTCAGTAGTCCTCACCTCTCTCGGCCACTCTTTCCTCCTTTTTTACCTATCATTTCTGTTTTCGCAATATTGCTTTCCTCCGGTCAAACGAGGAGCGACTAAAAAATTCACCGATTGACAAAAAAGCGCGCTTACCTCGACGAAAACTGAATCTCAGTGGGAAAGGAAATTTCCAGGGACTCTTCTGCATTGCAGCATCACATAAAGGTATCAATCAAATTTCCATATTGTCGATAAATTCCTCTCTTCGCTGTGTTTCCACGAGAATGCCCTGCCTTTGTGTGAAAAATAGCAAGAAAGATGGTGTTGATAGTTAAATAAAGCTTTCACGAGGGATGAGTTTCGTCAACACAATTTCTCAGTTGTGCCAATTTTTGACTTCTTCGCCACCGCGCAATTGCTCAAATAGTTGGACAGAATATATATACAGCAAGTTAAACAAAACTCTGCAAATAGACGGAAAGTTAATGGGGTCAGAGGCTGAAAAAGAGCAAACAGAGTCTCTTGTGATGTATACTGTAGTGATTTTAATTTTACTCAGTTCCCGGACAGTCATGCATGAAAATTCATTCAAAGAAGCACCGAGCCTCGTACTTAAGCATGCACACAAGTCGAGCGACGATGCATTCTATGCTCGTGGCATTTCAACAGGATTGCTTACTTTTAAATAAAACAAATGGATACATGCTGGAAATTATCGCAAGACCACGAAATGAGAAAAGGCACAGTGTGAGCGCGAGAAGGAGAACAGAAACCACTCCTCCAATATTTAACAGGAACTTTTCTGTGTATTTTTCATTTGCCACCCACTCACCCACATTCCACTCCCCACCAGAGAATTCCATAAGCACACACTTGAGTAGACCAAGAAAGCGTTTGTATCAATTTGCCATTATCGAGGAAACAAAGTTTTCCTCTCTCCGCTCCGTGTGACTTCGCCGTATCTCTGCGCTGCTCCCAATTCGCACTCACCCTCGCACTTTATTCAATTTCCACCATTTCCACAATTGAGGGCCCCTGCAAAAATGCTTGGGGACGGCCACAATTTGCTGGCTGTTCTGAGTTCATCCCAAATTACAAAATGACGAGAGCCCGAGCGAGGGTGGAAGGAAGTTCCTTTTGAAATAATACTCCTCACATCTGATGTATCAATTTCGAGGGCCTCTCTTTGGCGTGGGAGAATTTAATAAAGAGATTATTGCCAATCGCTGTTTTCCCCTTCTTTCCACCCAATCGCGAGGATTTTTCCGTGCCTCTCGGCAAATTTTACTTCTGAGGACGGAGTTTGAAACCGAGAAAAGATTCTTATTTGCAATACAGAATGGCTTTTTCTTTTTTTCCTCTTCGAATTTACACAGTATTTAAGTGAAGAATTATCTACCCATCTTATATTTGTTCATGATTGCAACATAAAAGTCACCAGAAACTTTAAGCAAACTCAAATATGTCTCTCTATTTTCCCAGCTAAGAAAGAAAAAGATGAAGACGCAAATTTCCCTCGTGTTTTCACATCATTCAATTGTGACGATACCTATAATCGTGGTCGAGAGCTTTTCTCGCCATCCTTCTTCGCTGTGTGACCATTAATGCAATAATGTGATTAAAATTTTATTCCATTACACATCCTCCCAGCCGTGTCTGGTGTCCTCTTAGCAATATTGCCAAGCAATAGATTCGCCGTGGTAATTCCATTTTCTCATGTGGCAAGACGAGCGAGGAAGAAGTGCAGAAGAATCCCGAGCAATTTGTTGCGGAAGTTAATGGATGGGATGGATATCAAAGTGATTAGGATGAAAGGAACCCCCGAAGAGCTCGTCGTGTGTGTGTGTGTGGATTTAATTGAAAATTTGCCATAAATTATTGAGAAAACGGAAGAGCTCGTTTGCAAATTAATTTTGTTACTGCGAAGTGTGCCACTTAATGGTCAGAAGCATCGCTTATATCACGTTATGTTCTCTGTGGTGCTCCAATAGTTTCACTATGGGAAGTCTTTTCCTTCGCCATCAAAAGGGGCGCAGAAGATCCTATTCAACAAGTTCATGTGTAGTCAGGCCGAAAACCGCAACTAAATCTTTCGCAAATGCCCCATTTTACCCACTCTCGGAGCGGCTCGGCGCCCTCCGGAAGGGGCTGAGATAAAACTTTTGATTGATTCAAGGGGACTTTTGGAGTACTTTTGACCAAAGGGCAATAATTTATGCGAGAACAAGTGCCCCAAAATTGATGAGAGTGGAAAATTAATTTCGTGGGTTCCTTCCTCCCACTTACATAATCATCTCAATAACACTTCAATGAACCACGAGTCGAGCTGCGGTCTGCCAAAATTGGATATACATTTGTGTCCTTAAAATATTTGATTTTCTCTCATTCTCCATGGAAATTTACGCAAGCGACTCGCGAGTTGCTTTTGAAATCCCTATCATAAAATAGGCTCACATGGAAATCTGAGCAACATATAATTTCCTGAATTTTTAAATAGTTATGCAATTATTATGCAGATACATCTGCAAATGTATGGCGAAATCATCTTATTAACATGCACAGAAAACCTTTATTTTTGCTTTTTTCCATTATCAATCCAATCCTATGATTTTAAATCGACTTGAGTACAATTTTCTTCAATTTAATTAGTGTTAAAAACCTTTTCAGTTACTTCCAAATCGCCTCTTCACGCTCAGCGCCATCTGCTGCGAAACATTTCGGATGAGCCGATGAACATTTGACGAGTTTCCCATGCGTTTGTCATTATCTCAGCAATTGAAGCGTTTATCTAGTGTGTGAGGAAAATGTCAGAAAATTATATCGCATCCATCGCTCCGCGCTTTTGAGTGATTTTCCACTTGAAAAACTGTCGGTGCACATGTGAAAAGTGGTTAAAAGTGTAGTTTTAGTGTTTGATCACTCTGTTTGCCATGTGAAATGTGCGAAAAGTGTGCAATTGTGTGGAAATTGTGCATAAATCAAAACTTGTGTTTTCGATCCAATCACCCGTCCTCCTTCATTACCCCGCAATACTGTAAGTGCGAGTGAGATGCACTGTGTGTGCATAGGGACGTCAATCAGTTGTGTGGATTCAGAAAGGAAAATTTCTTGCTGATTTTTCACCTTCTTATTGTGCCATTATTGGTTAAATTTTGCCGAAAAGGTGTCCCGAGTGGATCGGGGTTGGGCGATGGGGTGGCAAGGGCGAGGCAGAGTCGCATGCAAGGGCGGAAAAGCCAGTGAAAAGGTCGCAGGGCAGTGCGTCGCGAAAAACAATGGGGACGTCGTGGAGGAGCCCAAGCGGCCATTTATTGACTCCGGGAGGGCGTCCCGAGGGCTCCGACGCCGTCGAAGCACTGCCGGAGAGCAAAACCTTGACTTTCTGGCGGTTCAGAGCGAGCGCCTCCCACCCCTTTTGCCCAGCAGGGTGTGCTTGCGAAGGGGGAAAATGCGGCGCCTCCCGACCCTCTCTGGATGGCAGTGTCTGAAGGCTGGCTCAATGAAAATACCGCACGGGAAATCGATAAAAAAAAAATCCCACCCTCAGACGCGTCTCATTCATGCACACGAACCACTTTCGCGTCACCCCCGAGAGTGGGTCGAGTTTCATTGATTCGCGCCAGAGTGGGTGGATATGTCGCATGCCCGTCGACCGAGCGGGACTTCCGGGATGTTGAGGAGACAATCGTGAGTCACTTGAGATTGCATTCAGAGACAGCCTTTATCGCCCTCGTGAGCGTGTCTCCGGGCCATTTCACTTGCGGGAGCCTCGCAGATTGTGGCGAAAGAGGAGTGAGTCAATTTCTCCGGAATTGTCACTTAAGTTCATGCCTCTATCGCGCTCACTTCCCAACCAGCTGATAGACTTTACCAGTGCTGACCACAATTGTCGCAGTCGTCGAAGAATTTCTCCCGGAGCGTGACGAGAGAAATGGGGAGGAATTGGACGATGAAAAGAATATTTAATTAGTGGGAAATTGAAGATATTAACTCAGTCGCTTGCCTCTCAATTTGATTGGCCATGCTGGGGACACTAATTCCTGGCATCCGCTTCTTTTCTCTCATGTTCCCGATGGTCAATTCATTTTCGTTGTCAGACAGTAAGAACCCTCAAAGCAATTTCTCTCCCTGAACTTCTCAGGGAGTCGCTAATTGAGCGCCGTTTTGAAATTAGCAACTAATGTTGGTCAGAGAGTCGCGAGATTGCTGGTTTGAATGCCCCTGCAGAGCTCGATAAATGCTCAAGTGATTCGTGAGTGAATCACTCGAGAATTGTGCAGGAATCTGGGGAGATTATTGAGATGATTAAACACTTTCGAAAACTACTTGACGAGCATTAGCAAGAAGCTGGGCCAAGGGCAGCGGCGATGGCAATAATACTCCACTTAGCGTGGAAAGTTAACACTCAATTTACCAACATATTCAACTTTAATTCCTAAATCCTATTTTTGGGAAATATAAAGGAGTTTTTCACACTCCTCGTGATATATAGAATTTGTGTAATCTGGGAAGAATCACTACAAATTACTACACATCGTCACAAGATTGCTAATTCTCAATAGTCTCTAATTTAATACTACCTTGATAAATGAAGCGAAGTCTTCGCGAGTTGAGCGTTTAGTTTAGAATTGCCGACAAATGTGGAAAATATTCGTGCGCGCTTCTGGAATTAAGTTATGCACTGATGAATTTGTCTTGAGATGCGAAAGAAGTCGTGAGCATACGAGTGAATTGAGAGTCTCTCAAAGTGTATCTTGCTAATAGCATCAGTCAATTTCCCAAGATTACGGCGTGAATTTTTTTCCTCCACGCGAAACGGATTTTTAATTAAAAAATCCAACAGAGAGCGAGATAGTAGAGGCGAAGCCGGGCGTAATGGCGGTGGAAGAGTTGAGTGCCGGCGAGTTGTGCAGAGTTGAGCCGAGTGTCTCGGTGTCTTGAGGAGTGGAGTGTTGGAAAAACAATTGGAATTACATTCGGCAGAAAGTATAAATGATTTTTTAATCCGCATGAAGAGTGTGCACAGCGGATGAAGAGGGAGACGGAGAGATTCATCAGCAATTCACGGTGTCAATATTTGGGTGATGCCACTCGTGAATCAACACGGGCATGAGTCAATTGGAAAAATTTCCTCCCAACTCTCCGGGATTGTTGACATGTGATTTTGAGATGTTTAATACTCGAGGAGAGAGTGTGTGTATGGTTTTTATGATCGAGCCAGAGGAGTTCTGAGGCCGCGAGGAGGAAGCATCTCAAGAAAATTCAATTGGCAAGAACAAATAAACTGCCTTTCTGCATTGCATGCAATGATGTTGCTGGGCGGGGGGATTGAAAGGCGGAAGAGAGGCAGGAGAGGATGCAGTAAACAAAAGACTTTGTGTGATTAAAATGCCAAGAGAGCAAGAGTGAAATGGGAGGAAAACACTCTGCAGAAGGCATGATAGAACATGAGTGGCGGAAAGGGGGTGGCAAAGGCGGAAGAATTGCGGGTAAACATTTTGGTTTGCAAGTCGGTCAACAAAGTATCTATTTTTCATCCCTCCAGCTAGATTGCATGAGAGATTGAGCGAGAGCCTCCGGGGAATTCTCGCATGTGAGATTTCATTGTGGAGCAAAAGAGCACCTGTAATCGATCTTGTGGGATGAATAATTGAATTTTCACCATGTTTTCGCTCTGTTATCTGAATTTTGTACTTATGAGAATGTGTGCAAGTTAATAATGAAATGGGAAAATGTTCATTGGGTGGGGAGGGAAAAAAAGGCGAAACAGTTTCCAACTTGCCTCAAGACTTGACCGATACTGCTTAATCACTAGAGATAACTTTAAACATTTATCAATGTTTAGCTTGTAGTTCGAGCCACGTTTTGTGTAAAGTTCTCAGACACTTGAGGAGGGCGAGAGAGAGAGAAGCTTAAAACAGTAGCCTGAAATCTGTGCTGTGACCATGGGGAAATGTCTGAAGACGAGCAAATTATCTTCCGTCTCCTGAATTATTTATTTATCTTTCCTGTGCACTTAAAGGTATTACACAGCAATTTTACAAGCTTCTCTCATATTCTTTCACAATTCATTAAGGCAATATGAAATTAGGGTTTCAGATGATTCTGCTTATCTCTGCCGTTAGACGAGTTATTAATTGAAAAGTCAAGATTTTCCTCTCTAAGCAGTTCAGCATTTGAGATGAGACGGAAGATTTCTTTTCTCCGTCAATCTGTGCTACATTGGAGGCCGTTTTGAGTTCGTGGATATCAATTTGCAGTATATTTTGGACAACTGAATGCTTCACAATATAATTATGGCCAAAAAATGTGCAAGTAAGCACATGTAGTGGGATGTTCCTTGACATGAAAATGGTAAAATTCAATATCGAACACGGAGATTTTTATTGCTTACAACGATAGAGCGCGAGAGTCGAAGCGAATTAATCTCTAAAAGCTGTGACTAATTGAATAATGGAAATAATATCCATTGTGGGAGATTTGTGGCATAATTGCCGCCCGCGCAATCTTTCCATAAAGCTGCCGATGATGGTGTGTTCGTCATCTGGAGATGTGATGGAATGAGGAGAGGCAGAAAAAGAGTGGCAGCAGCGCCTCTTGAATGAAGTGCTAAAAGTGTCTCATTTCACGCAATGCATTTTATTTTTACGAGTGAATTCTCACTCGATGTGGCTCCAAAACGGTCTCCTCAATGTGTGGGGGATTCTTCGCGCGCGGAAGAGAGCTGGAAAGCACATGCTGGGATGAGGAATGTCATGGAAGAGGCACATTATTGGGAAACGCGGCCCGCAGTAAATAGATAAACTCGTGGAGTTCAAAAGTGCGCCACATTTTTGCCTTCTTCAATTCGCTTCATCTCTCCTGTCTGTTCTGTTTCAATGGCTGTGTTGATGGCATTGGCGCCTCCATTTATGGAATTTGTAATAAGCAATAAATAGCAAGACAAGAAATTAACAATAAAAGTGCGTGGTATCTCACAATTCCCTCTCTAGTCTGTTTTGTCGAAAAAAAAACGAGACTCGCTCTCTTTCCGTGTGTGTCTCTCCCTGGCTTTATACTTGATTTTAGAGTGCTCGCAAATAAAGTTCAAAGCATCATGAATCATTTTTATTGTTGATACCACACGAGGCAGGAAATTTTCCTCGAAAAGAATCTTTTGATATTAGACACTTTATCAGTGTATTTACAGTAAATATTTGTAATGTAGCATTAATGTTAATTGCATTTTCCCTCTTCTTTCTCTCTCTTTCTCTTCAACAGCAATTTGTGGCATTTACTAGCAAAGCGCGGAGTTTCAGGCGACAGTGAGAGTGTGAGAGACACAATAGGAATTCCACAAGGGAAGTGATCGAAAGTGGAAACTAAAATTATGGCCTGAAGATCGAGTGTGTGTGAAGAGCATTGATTGTGGCTTAACGAGGAAGAATCACACAACGAAGAGATGTCAAGTACGAACGGCGAGAACAATGTGAAGATGCAGTCACATGAGATCTACGAGAATCTACCTTGTCAGTCAATTGTGTCGGACTCTGTGACAAAGATCAAGAACAACGAGTCGATCATAATTAGTAATAGCAATCAAAATGTGGCGTCGAAGCCTAATCTGGCCAAAGAGTTGCTGTACGCGACACCGCTAAGGAAGTCCGATCGCTTCAAGGGTCGCGATCGTAGTGGCAGCCACCGACCTCCGCGACCGAGTCACTTGGAGGGATTCCCCGAGTCGGCTCAGTACGCTGAGAAGGTGAACAATGCGGAGAATAATCGCTGCGAGTCCTTGCCGTCGGTGGAGGGGAGCAACTTGAGTTCAATACCCAATCAGGATCCTATTCTGGAGCAGAGGCGCATCAGGAACTTCCTTAAGGATCCGGCGGTGTCGCACAAGAAGCTGGAGCCAGTGTCCAAAGATAATCCCAATGCGAATTTCTCGCACTTGGCGCGGGAGGAGCACTTTGCTAATCTTGTGCAGCAGAATGTGATCACAGAGACGGAGGCGGTGGATCAAGACCCCGAGAGTCCGTCGAAGAAGAGTGAGGCAACAGACAAATTGGACTATCTCACGAATATCAATAACAAGCCGTCGCCAGAGAAGGAGAGTGTAACCAAAGCGAGCGAATGTGAGCCACGGACAGGTGATCGCGTCTACATTAATCGCGAGTGGGTGCTGAAGAAGATTGCCATGTGCCTGGAGCAGAGGATCTTCAAGAAGCCCATTCCCACGCCTGGTGGGAGCAGCAGCACTGAAGTGGCTCCGAGTTTGCCCATTGAGACGCCCTCAGGAAGTTCTGGCTTTCCGCCAAAAGCCTCCTCGAGCCACCATCAAGCGTCTAACTTACCTCAGGTCGGCTGCCTAGTGCTGGGATCCAATGGCTCAGGGAAGACCTCAATTTGTCGCAGTATACTTGAGGGTGTCTCAGGAACAAAAGGCATTCTTAATCGCAAGCTTCTCTGTTGTTACTTCATCAACTCACAGAATCCTGAGTGCAACAGCCTGAGCATGTTCGTGAGGAGTCTTGTTCTGCAAATCCTCAGTCACTCCAGTTACTTGAACTCCAAGGATGACGTGTCCGGAGAGGCGGGAGCTGAGGGAGTGGACTTGATCACGTTCGAGGGGAAGAAGATGGATAAGGCGAAGATTGACGAACTCGAGGAAATGCTAATATCTGAACTGAAACTGTCTGAACGTGTGGCAGAGTTTTGCGCCAAGAAATCACCAACAGGGAAGAAACCGGTAGTGAGACAGCAATCGGAACCCACGGAGAACCGAGGCGCTGAGGAGAATTGCACGGGATACGAGACTCATCCGCCGGGACAGAAGGCTGAGAAGCTGAGGAAACCCCATGCGGAGGTTGCAGAGGAGGAGCAGGCGAAGGTAAAGAGTCCGGGCAAGAAGGTGTCCAAAATTCCAGTATTGATCTCAAGTCGAGGCAGTCCGAAGGTGAGCGTGAGTCAGGAGGAGAATGACACTGCTGGAGCTTGTGGCGGAGCTGAACAGGTGACTCAGCAGAATTCTGTGACTGAAGAGCAGGAGGGAACCAGTGAGGCGGACACATTTTCCGCTCCAGAAGCCGATAGGCGTCCGCCAGCGGAGGAACCTGAGAAGGACGAGAAGGAGCAACCTGAAGATGAGACTGAAGTGTCGAAATCTCCTCCTGCTGAGGCGTCACTCAGATCCGAGAACATCCCACCGCCCCTGCCAAAGTCGAAGAGCTGCAGAACTGTGGTTGCAGATGGATACTATGAGATGCTCCTCAGCAATCCGGAGATTTTTGAGAGTCTCAATGTGGACAACATTGAGAAGAATCCCGACGAGTGCTTCAAGAAGGCTATTCTGTTTCCGCTGCTCGAACTGACGCCACCAAAGACAGCACTGCTTTTCCTCGTGGACTCCATCGATGAGAATTACATCAACGAGGGCAGCCTCATGTCCACGCTCAAGGGCAATCGCAGTGCCAACAAGAGCCGCAATATTGCCGAATTGCTTTCCAATCACGTTCATCTATTTCCCAAGTGGATGTTCATGGTGTGCACGGCGAAGAAGCAGAGCAAGCACATAACGAAGATGTTCACTGGCTTCAAGAAAATCACCCTCGATGATCTGCGGAAGAGTCATGTGGTGAAGGACGTGCAGGAGTATATAATAGTGCGTCTCAATGCGGACTTCAAGGGGCTGATTAATCTCACTAAGGACGTTATTGACAGCCTCAATCAGCTCTACTTGAAGTCCAACGGATGCATTCTCTATCTGCAGAAAGTGCTGAATGGAATCAAGGAGAATTTCTTCTCCTTCCGCGAAATAAAACTGATTCCCTGCACGCTGAACGGTCTCTACCTCTACATCTGCCAGAAGTCATTTAACAAGAAGCAGTACATGAAGATTCGACCCATTCTCAACATCCTGCTGGCCTGCAGTTCCTTCGTGGACCACATGTTCGTCTTCAACTGCCTCCGCACGCACAACTACTCAATTGACATGGAGGAGTTCCACAAGAGACTGCAGCTCATGCGAAACATTGTGGTGTTCGAGGGGGAAAAGCTGAAAATCTTCCACAACTCCTTCTGTGACTGGCTGGTGGACGTGAAGTTTTCCACGAAGAAGTTTCTGTGCGACGTGAATGAGGGACATGTGATGATCTCAATGTACTACACTCTCGTGAGTGACACTCTCTGTCCCAACAAAGTGCGTCGATTCATCTACCATCTGATCAAGTCGGGAGAGTATCTCACCAGCAAGAACATCAATCTTGACCTTATTCTCATTCTGCTGGACTCGAGAACCAACCTCAGTGACTGTTTCTACACAAATCTTCTCAATTGCTGCAAGATTTGTGAGGATGAGTGCATGAACGATATGAATTTTCTGCCTAAGACACAAGAGATGTTGGAGAAATTCCTCAATTCTCTGCTAAATCCCGACTTGTCCAATTTCCTCTGTGACTTCTTCAAACCAAATCTCCCCACTGACGCCAAAACCCTCAAGATGCTCATCGAAGCGGGAATCAACAATGCTGAATCACAGGTAAGAAGCAATTGAATAAGCCACTGGCGAGATTTCTCACTCAGCTTCCTTTCATTTCTTCGCAGCTCTCGTATGAGTCATCAATCAATTCACCCGTGCTGTCGGATAAATCGCAGAATATTGACTCAGAATTGGCGGAGTTGCTCATCTCGAGTGAGAGGAGTTGTCACCACGAAGTGCAACGATCAACGAGTCACGCCGGTGGAGCGGATCAGTCTCTCACGTTGGACGACGCGAGCACGATGCAGCAAATGTCGGACTCGCACTGCTTGGATCTGCACAAAGGAAAGGCGCTGATTCACTTGCTGGCCAACGAAGGCAATCACGTGCTGCTGGAGAGGGCTCTGAAGGCGTGCAAGGATCCGATTGATCTGGAGATTGAGGATGTCAATGGGCAGACAGCACTCAACATTGCCAGTCGCAATGGTCACATCGATGTGGTGCGTCTGCTGCTGAACTTCACGCAGCCTCTGGCAGATGGCACGGGACGCGTGCGAGGTGTGGATGTGAATCACGCGGATCGCGACGGATGGACTCCACTGAGATCCGCCTCATGGGGTGGACACACGGAAGTCGTACGACTGCTCATTTCACATCCAGGATGTGCCATTGATTGTGCCGACAAGGAGGGCAGAACGGCTCTGCGAGCGGCCGCTTGGAGTGGCCACGAGGATATCCTGAAGATACTCATCGAGGCAGGAGCGAATGTGAATTCGGTGGACAAACAGGGAAGAACATCTCTCATCGCTGCATCCTATATGGGTCAGTATGACATCGTGGAGATCCTTCTGGACAATGGAGCCGATGTGAATCATCTGGATCTCGATGGAAGAAGTGCTCTCTGTGTGGCGGCACTCTGTGGAAGTTCTGGGTGAGTCAAAACCTGTGTGAATCATGCGTGCTTCAGAGATTTATGTTTACCCTCTGTCATTGCAGGTACAATCGAGTGATTTCGACTCTTCTGGAGCACGGAGCGCACACTGATCAGCTGGATAACGACGGAATGTCAGCTCTGCTAGTGAGTTCGTTCGAGGGAAATGCGGAGATTTGCGAATTGCTGCTCGAGAATGGAGCAGATCCGGATCTGGCGGATTACATGGGAAGAACACCTCTCTGGGCGGCTTGTACTGCTGGACATGCTTCGGTGGTGCGATTGCTGCTCTTCTGGGGATGCAGCATTGACTGCATGGACTCAGAGGGTCGCACTGTGCTGAGCATCGCATCGGCTCAGGGGAATTTGGAGTCTGTGCGACAGTTGCTCGACCGAGGCCTCGATGAGACCCATCGGGACAATGCCGGCTGGACGCCACTCCACTATGGCGCCTTTGAGGGATATGCGGACATCTGTGTTCAGCTGCTGGAGTCCGGGGCGAAAATCGATGAGTGCGACAATGAAGGCAAGACAGCTCTTCATCTCGGTGCCCAAGAGGGACACAATAGTGTCGTGGAAGCTTTGCTGGAGATTCACGCAGCTTGTGTGGATCAGAAGGCGCATGATGGGAAAACGGCTTTCAGGCTGGCTTGTCTTGAGGGGCACTTTGATTGTGTCCAGACACTTCTCAAGTACGGAGCGGATGTCAATTCTAGGTGAGTTCCTCTCTTTCCATTACAAAATTTAGTTTCTACTACTGTTAACTTCATCATTTCCCAGAGATGCTGATTCCCGAACAACGCTCTACATCTTGGCGCTGGAAAATAAGGTGAAAGTGGTGAAGTTTCTGCTAGAGTGTGCCAATCTGGATGTCAACTGTGCCGACAGCGAAGGCCGAGCAGCGCTGCATGTGGCCGCTTGGCAAGGACACGCTGAGATGGTGCGACTGCTCATCACGGCGGGCGGCGCTGATGTGAACGCCATGGACTTGGAGTGCAGAACTCCACTGCACTCATGCGCTTGGCAGGGGAATCACGAGGTGATGGACATTCTGCTCTGCTATGGCGCCATTCCGGATCATGCGTGCAAACAGGGCGCCACCGCTTTGGGGATCAGCGCTCAGGAGGGTCATGAGCAGTGTGTGGCGATTCTCCTGCAATTCGGGGCGAATCCCTACAAGTCTGACCACTGTGGGCGGACACCCATCAAGCTGGCGGCAAAGTCCAACAGGAACAACGTTCTCAGGATACTGGAGACGTTCGCGAAGAACAACAGCGAAGCTCCTCCGGTAATCAAGTCACCGGATCGCCCGGATAAGCCACCGATTGGGGGCAATCCGTCGCCCAATTCATCTAACTTGCTCATGCCCAATGTGGCCAGTGCGACGGGATCCACGCAGAGCAGCAATTTCTACGAAAACACAATGCACTCCGATCACAGTAGTCTTCAGAAGCGCAAGAGTGTCATTTCTAGTCACTCGACCGGGAGCAGCAATGAAGTGAGACAGCTCAATTGCCACTATATGCACGACAAATGCTGAGCTAATAACGCCTCTTTGCAGGTTCCGATCTCTTTCACGCAGCAACTGCAGAAGCACTCACGACATCATGGATCACGCAGCACGCAATCGAGTCAGGGCGGCGCAATTGTTGTCACGAACAACAGCAAATTCAGCAAAAACCCCATGAAACATGCTCAGGTTCTACCCAATGTTCAAGAATATCATCAAACCAATATTGGTGAGTCCCCTTTTGGGCTTTATTAGCCAATTTATAGAGTGTAAAATGTGAAATTAGTTGCATTTTACGCCTAATTTAACTTCTGCAATAAACATCTGAATATGTGGGCCATTGAATTTAATTACCTTTCGCCAAAAATTCAATTAAAAGCTGGCACATGCAAATTGAATAAATTAGCAGGCTATTTGTGTTCATTGCGTACATTATTAAGCTCTTTATATGGGTCATAATGAATGATAATATATGATAGCAGTAGAATATGATTAAAAGCCTTTTCAAAAATAATGGTGATTATAGGTAGTTTGTATTAAAACTTTATAAAATATATATCAAAAAGTTTTGTAAGAACGCTGTTTGTAGACATTTTAACTCAGTCATGTTTTTTTCTTTAAGTTTTCTCCTAAAAAATTCGAACTGTTTTAAGTTTATTGTCCATTTGCAGTGAATGAAGCGGATTTGTTTGACTTGGGCTGCATGTCGCCACTTTATGCCACTCCGCCGCACTCGCCGAGCAGCGATATCAGCTCTCCGGGGCAACACTTGCCGCCGCATCACTTTGAGGAAATTGGCGGCAATGTCGGAGGAGCCACAAATCAGCCGATCAACTCCACGGATCAGCATTTTGCCAGAGACACGCACATGCGAATAATTCTGGGGAACAACAACAAGGATTCCCACAAAGATTCATCAGCGTAAGTGTGATTTGTTTGCCGGCAAAAGTGAGAGAAAAATTGATTAATGGAAATGGGGTGTTTTTGCACAGGAAATCCTCAAAGAGGAGCGGAATCGCCACCAATCCGGCTGTTCGAATGATCCGCAGCCGCTTCGATTCGGCGGCCAATCTCATCAGACGCACAAACAACATCTTGTCCAGCAGCAGCAATCAAGGATCATCGAGCATTGGCGTGAAATCTGGCACATTTCAGTGGCGCAAGGAGAGTCAGATGTAGAGTGTTTTGGGCCTAATTTTCAACAACTCACAAGTCATGGTTTCGTTTTGACCCTTGTTTGCTTGATGAGGTGAATTTCCCCGGATTTCTGGTCTCTTAAAGTATTCTTCTCCCTCGGACAATGCGAGCGAGACTGAGATTATAAAAAAGCACACATTTTGAGAATCACAAGACACAGAAGAATTTAAATGTGAGCAATTGATACAAAGGCTAAAAGATATTTTCATGTTTATTTTTGTCCCTTCGCATGGAAAATATTTTTGAAAATGACATTATTGATTGAATATTGTGGGAGATACAGATAAACTGATTAGGTTATAAAATAAAATAGGACGTAAAGTAGGATTAGTGAGAGAAAGTACACAAGATACGAATTATTTATGTTCTATTTATTCATTATTTTGTACGTTTTATTATTTTAACTATATGCTTAAATTCTAGTCGTGATGAAGAGTGATTTCATGGATACACTTTCTCATTTTTTTTTTTTAATTTCATTTGAGACATGGAACTTTATTTTTTAAATGTGAATATAAAGAAAGTCCTGATCTTTGAGATGCATTTTATCATAAATGATGATTAAACGTGGACTCTGCTTCCCTAATGATTTATTTTTTTGTCTTTCTTTCAACTTAAGCAATGAATGTAAAAGGACATATATTAATTAAAAAAGAAAAACAGAATAGTCAATAATTTCCAATGGCAATAGATTGTTACTTTGCAGGACAATGTCTTCACTGACGATAATAGTATTTTGGAAGGTAAACAAAACTAATATCACTTTAATCTTAAAAAAAAAACCTCACATTGCAATTTCAGAAAAACGATATTTTACTCTTCGCAAACTATCCAGGAAAAATCTATAGAAACTACTTTCTTAAAACATAATAGTTTGAGGCTTTTCACGCCATCGCCTTTCACAAATAAAAAGCAAGCAGATTAAAAAGATGACAAAAAGAATATATTACAGAGAAACGAATTATTCAGAAGAAAATTGCATTATATAGACGAGAAAATATAAAAAAAAATTCAAATTTATAACACTTAACAAAGTAAAAAGGAAATAAAAAGAGTAAATAAAGAAAATTCTGCCCTTTAGCACTTAGTTTAGCTTATTCCACCATCATTTCAAATTTGTCCACTTCGTCGCACATTTCGTTGAATGAAGTGCAGAATTCATCGAGTTCCTTTTGCTGCAAAGGCAAGAAAAAAGTGTAAAAAATGGAGTCAGAAGGATGACTTAAGAGGGAACACTCACATGCTCTAAATCCTTCTTGCTCGTTGTTGCCTTTGGCTTCCCCTCCTTCTGCTTCTTCTTGTATTTCAGGATCTGCTGCTCCTCCACCGTCAGATCTGCCACCTCTTCCTCATCCAGGACATCTTCCTCCGATTCGCTCTCCTGCAGCTTCGGCTTCTTCGGACGGGAATAACTGCGATTGGCCGCCGGCCTTTCAGGCTCAAACAGATTCTCCACAAGCGGCGTCTCCTTGGCCGCCGTTCGCGATGTGGAAGGCATGGCTTGCTCAAGAGTGAGCTGTTGTACTCTCCTGTTGCGCCGAATCGGAGAGATGGGAGCGGCAGGACGCTTCTTCTTCGGCACCAGTGCCTTCACGCGCTCCCGCTCCTTCTTCAGCGCCTCCTCGCCGTGCTTCTGCACGACCTCCTCGTCCGCTTCCAAGGAGTTATCAGGATCTTCGAGCTCGAATCCAAAGAAATTCTTCACTGTGAAATCCGCGGTTGTGCGTTTGCTCATCTGAGACTTATTGAGAGATTCCGGAGTGGTTTTTTGCGCCACATTAGATGTTTGCGCACCGGATTTGCCCCGATCTGTGCTTGTGGCGGCCTGAGGCACTCTCGGCGGTGGCTTGAGCCTCTTCGGAGTGGCCTTCACGATCATTTCACTGGCATAAGTAGGCAGGTGGTCCGTCGTTGACTGGTTTATGTACCTCGTTGTGGGCAGCATTACGCGAGTCTCATCCGATCTCCAGGGCGAATCATCTGCCTGCACACTCTTCCTCCTGCTCTCCGCTGGCGTTTCCGGGATATCCTCCTCATGGTGTTCTGCCACAGTCTCATCGGGTTCATTTTGCTAGAAAGGCAAAGAACGGAATGTCAGGAATAAAAGCTTATGAAACCATCAGAAAATACTCACATGCTCCAAATCATCATCATCATCATCATTTTCAATACAAGAAATATTCTCCGCCGCGGGCAACTCAGCAACAGCGCGATCCCTGATGGGCGTAGACGTCTGGAGATATTCAGCTTGCTTAGCCAACTCCTTTTGCTTCACCTTCGACACAATGTGCGCTGGAATTGACTGCAATTTGGACGCCTTGTTCTGAAACCTCCTGAGCGCCTGAGGGTCCCACAGAGGGGATTTTGCCTTAGCTTTAGCGCCCTTAGCCTTGGTGGCCTTAGCTTTCAGCCCTCGGGGTCGCTTCTTCTTGGGCTTCTTCTCGAGACTGCCCTGACTGGATGAGAAATCATAGACGGCGGTACTTGGGCCAGCCACTTCCTCGTCCATCACAATCAGCTGCTTCATAGGCACTTCGGTGGCTTTTGTGTTGATGGTCTTGTAAATGGGCTTCTTTTCACCACTATTTCCGTGGATCGTCTGAGGCGGCCCGTTTTTTGGCACATCTTTCACCTGATTCTCCTTATCTGAGGCGTCGGAAGAGACACTTTCGGACTCTGTCTCCTCAGCCACCACCGGAACATCCTCACTCTCCTTCGGAGGCGCTTTCGCTCGGTTGCGAGCTCTCGAAGATGCAGGAACTTCCTTCTTTTTGGCAGCTGCCGGCTTTTGCTTGACCGCGGCTGGTTTCGGCTGAACCTTCTTCACCTCAACTTCCTTCTCCTTCGATGTGGCAGCCTTGTTTTGTGTCTTCGCCACTGGTTTCGGCTTTTCCATCACTTTTGCTTCCTTCGCCTTTTGCTTAGGATTTCCCGCCACTTTTTCCTCCGTCTTCTGCTCCTTCTTCGCCCTTGCCGTTCTCCTTAGCGGCTGCTCAACCTTCTTATTCGTATCTGCCTTAGGCTCATTTTCCGCAGGCTTCGCATCAACTTTCTTCCTTATTCCCTTGCCTTTGCTGGGACCCGCCACAGGCTCAGTCTTCTCCGCCTTACTTGAGCCAGCTGTTTCGACAGAAATTACCTTCGCCTCTTGCTTCTTCCTGCCACCAGTAGTTTTCTTCTCAGCTTTGCTCTCCACCTCGACGTCTTCAGAAGCTTTTGTGGGCTTTCCGGTCTTCTTCTTAGGCTTGCTCAGCTCTTCCTCTGCAGGAATCTTTTTCCGCGATCGAGGCTTCACGGTTTCAGCAGAATCTCTTTCTGTCTCTACAGTCTCTGCATCTCTCACAGCACGCTTGGAAACCTGATCTTTGGGCACAATCTTGGCCTGCTCTGCTATAGCGTCCGGAAGATTTTGCTTGATTCGGACCAATTTGATAGACAAAGGCTTTACCCCTGCGGCGCTCTTTGCCTTCGCGAACTTTGCCCTGGTGACCCTGCCACTGGTATTCATAGCATCTAGCCCGAAAGACTTCCTAATTGGGGCCTCATCCGCCTTTTTCTTTCTGCCTTTCGAGGGCGCCATATCGCCAATTGCAGCTTCCCTGAGTCGCCGAAAAGTAAGGTTACCACCTGTGTCACTGCATTATGCATAAGATTCTCGCGTTAATCACTTACCCAAAGAGGAATTTCCGTTGCCTGTGAGAGATTTATGCAATTTCTGCTTGCTTTAAGATCCTCTCTGTATGTGAAAACACGATAAAAACTCAGAGAACTTTTCCGCCAATTCGCACTTCACTTTGACATCCAAAATGGCCACCGACGTGAAGTCATCTGCACTTTAATATCCACTTCGCCAATTTTCGCCTTTTCGCCACCAGAAATTGAAACTACGATCAAAAAGAACCAAAAACAGCTTTTTATCCCTTTTCTGTGCAAGACAATCTTTATTCTTTACTTTTGTCTCCGATTAGCAATTTTAAGCGCACAAGGCCTACTTAAGATTTCTACATCAATCACAGTAATACAAATCATATCTTGCAAGATTCTCTGCTCATCTCACTGCAAAAATCTTGAATAAATCATTTCTTATGAGTGTCCACTTTTTATGTAGAAGGTATAGTAAGTATCTCAAAGTCTAATCCAAGGTTTTCCTTAAATGACACCTTGAATAGGATTTCAATGATAAATATGGGGAGGTATACAACTATTGCATATTAATGGTAACAAAGCTACGCCGGAGACTTCAACAGCAAATCTCCCATGAGCATGAAAAGGAAGCTAGCAAGAGATTTGGCCAGAGCCAGCTGTACAATAGTCAAGGATTTACTTTCCTCTTGAAGGACTGCAAGAGGCTATCGAAGCTCTCATTGGCATAGCTTATTGGGCGCGCCGGTTGCAGACTCGGCGCATCGACATCCATTGAGAATCCGTAGAAGTCTCTGCTTCCGTAGAACCCAATAGGAGCCACATTGTCTGTAAGAAATCGACAAGAGTGTTCACCCATTCATCAGGAGCTGAAGCACAGAGAAACTTACCCAAGTCCGAATATGACGCTCGACAGAAAGCTCTGCGGCCGCCAAAACTAATGTCATAGTGGTTCAATTCGGGATTCTTGGAGCCGCTGTCGATAGCCTCATAGGCATCCCTGGCCCTCTCGAAAGTCACAAAGCCATAACGCATTCTGCAAGTCAGGAGAATACTCAAAATTCCGTCACTCAGAGCAATGCAATCATTTTCTCACCTCGTAACTTCCTTGTAGTGAAGCGTGATTTTCGTAATGGGACCAAAAGTCAGGAATTTCCTCTTCAGATCATCCTTCGTGAGATCCTGCTCGAGTTTTCCCACATACACGATGCGTCTCTCTTCTGAAAAACAACCCATTCCACCAGTTATTTCACACCAATATATCCAACCCTTGTCATCTTTCACGTCACCTGGTGAGGTTTTCCGCATGTTACGCGAGCGCTGTGGCATCCGACGATCACGTGATCGGGATCTCCTCTCGTGAGATCGCGACCTGCGATCCCACGAGCGTGACCGCGATCTACTGCCGGAAGAACTCCTGTAGGAGCGTCTCCGTCGGTGCGACCGCGATCTCGAACGATAACTTCGCCTCTTGTAGCTGAAGGATGACCTGTCCGAACTCTCGGACGACGATGACGATGATGATGATGATGACGAGGTAGTTGAGGATGACGATGAGGACTCCGTCGATAAGGAGCGTTTCCGCCCGCCAATGGGAGAAAACTCCATATGCCGCACAGTCTGAACGGATATCGTGGCTGTTGTCGGCCTGATACGATCTTTCCGAAGGTGCATTATCACTTTATCCTCTCCATGCTCCTTCACTGGCACCCCTGCAGATCTGGCAGCATCATTGGCGCCCTCGGGCTTGTCCGGAGATGCCCCATCCGGCGGTGACACAGCACACCTGGGCGAAGTGATGCCCGACGCATTCCCAGGATTGTTCTTCTTCATCATCATGTCCTGAATGCTGAACAGGAGGGAATTACTTGAGATCGGCGTGCTCTTGATTATGGTCTCGGTGATATTGGAAAAGAGAGAGGATTGCTGCAGAAGACCCGATGCAGACTCAGTTTCCGGCGGAATACTAATCTCAGTGTTGCATCCCATCGACACAATCACAATCTCTTCGTATTCACTAGACAAGTGAGTGGCTTTGGGCGCTTCAGTCTCTGTCCGAGGAGACTTCCCATCATCCTCCATCAGCCTTATTCCCGTCATCTCTGCCAGTGGCAAGATTGGCATGAGAGACGCCGATTTCACCTTCACCTCCTCGTCCAGAATCTTGAGAGCAGCGGCTCGCTTTCGTTCTCGTATCCGGAGCGCCTTCTCCTTAGCCACAAGAATGGGATCTCGATAGGGAGCACTGGGCTTCGCCTCATGCTCCTTCCTCACATGTCTCAGTGGATTCACCTGCGTCTTTATCACCTCCTGCTTTGGCGCAGGCTTCTCTATCCTCTCGTTGAGTGGCTTCAGCAGACTCTGTCCACTCTTTGGAGTATTTTCCGTCACGACAACCTCCTCTTTATCCACAAATGTCATCACATCACCGTTCCCCATGCGCCAGGAGCGATCAACAGCTCCCTGCGAGCCCTTCTCCTTCAAAATGTCCAACACATTGCGATGGCACTTCTCCTCCTTCTTCATCTTCGGCACCGCGGGCACTTGACGCCTTCGCGGTGAACAGTAGTCGTGATCCACCGTCTCCTTCTGCCTGCGGATGGGGTGGTGTGCCTCCTTGCGCTTCTTGAAGCCCACCGGAATTGGATTGGCAGCCAGGAACTTCATCTTCATGGAACTTAAGTCATTCTTCCCTCGATTCGGCTTTGTCTTCTCTACAGCAGGCTTCGGAGTGGCTTTAGCCACATTCCTCGTGGGACACCATGTAGGATCACTCTGCACGCGATGCTTGGCAATCGGCGATACAGTCACCACATCAACAATATCCTCACTGTCAGTCTCCGGCCGCTTCTTCTGTCGCGTTACAGCTTTTCGCACTGTCCTCTTCGCCTCCCTCTTCGACTGCTTCTCCATCTCCGCCCGCACGAGATTGAGATCCTTGCCTCTGCTCTGCTTCACCCTCTTCGCACTCCCCGTCCTCTTCTTCTCGTCCGCCTGTATCCACTCGAGCAGATTGAAGTCATCCGCTTTGTCGTTGAGCGACGTGTCTGCATCTTCATCCACATTGATGTCATCCAGACTTATGCTCAGGTTCATGTCCTCGGGAACGTCAAATGTTGGCGAGGCAGGAAGAGAAAAGGACTTCTTGTGCAGACGCTTCACCGGTGAATTTGCACTCTCCACGAGACTCTGCTCTATCCGAGCATTCTCCTCCTGGATGGATTCGTTAACCTGCGCCAGGATGCTCATCACCTCCACACTCGGATCCTCCTCATCACGCCCAGGAGAGCCAAAATCGAAGTCTGGGTCAATTGACACCACTTCCACCTCGATTATCTGATCCTCCTGCATCTCTTCCGGCTCCCAGTCCTCTGCAAAGACACCAAATGGACTTATCACCATCGCTTATCTCACTCTGAAAGCCGAGAGGGAGTTAATGCTCTAGATAAGGACAGCCACAAAGAGTGTACGCCCGGTGCGACTCGTTGAGGTTATGTCCAGACAGGGACTTTCGCAGAGGATTTTTGCCCTGTTACACAATCTCTCGATGAGTTTCCACTGCCAAAATCACCAAAGGGAGAGACCAGCAATCGCAACCACCCACATAGACACTATTCAGTGCGCTTCCTGGCCATCTCCCGTGATTTGAGCGTGGTTCCGGCTGCCTCCACACCCGAATCTCAGTAATCCGCCCCGTGACACATTTAAGCAGCGCCCGCGAGTGGGAACAAAAGAAAACGCAAACTACGATTACCCGAGAGACATTGAAAACCCCGACGATTCACTGTGTGATGTTTTATGTAAGAAGAGTGGCATAAAAATAGAATTATCAGAAGAAATTCCTACCCACAAATCTCTCCCGAATTGCAAACACACACGTCTGATGAAAATGAAAGTTGAAAACGTGTCTCTTTGAAGCACTTTTCCACCACTTCCACACACTTTTCCGCCACTTTTTCCACAAGATCTCCGTGCACACTAGCCCAATCTATTGTTATGCACCAGATTTTCCTCTATAATTGCATATTTTGGCACCTTTTCGCACCGAAATATTCCACACACACCAGAATCTCGCAAAATCACATGGTGGAACTTCTTCTTCTTCTTTCTTCCGGCTTAGCCTGAAGTTTGTCGCACTTCCAACTCACAGCATGGAAACATTGGAAGTATTCCAATATAGTTTCCAGGCACAGGAGCACGACGTGCCGGAGTTTTGCAAGTTTTTTAGGCCTCTTTTCACCCTTATTCGCTCATTCCTTTTCTGTCATGGTGGAGAATGAACATATTGCCGTGATAGAGAAACGCGTGGAGGACTGTCTGCCGTGCAAAATAATCAGTGGTTGCGTCATTGTCGGTTTGGGATGTTATCTGGGGTTTCAGGGCATTGTGCACACGAAGAAGTACAATAAATACGGACTCTACGGCCTCTCTGCAGGTAACCATAGCATCTCTAAGTTCCTGTATTTGTACTGAACTCATCAGTTGTTCTTTCTTTATTGCAGCAACTTTCCTGTACGGTTTTGCGCGGCTTCTTGACCTCGGCCCGTTTCAGCGATCGAGCGATCGCGACTGAGTTCTCCATGGCTTCCAGCAATAACGTCCAGGAATCCGTTGAGGAGGAAGTGGAGGACTTCTACTTTGAGTCCGAACATCTTGCCTTGAAGAGAAACCCGGATTACCACAGTTTGGTGAAGACAATAGCAATTTTGCAGGCTCAGCAAGCGCAAGTCGTCAAGGATATCGATAAATTGGCCAATATGCAAGTGGAAGCGCTGGAAAACCCCGAGGAGTTCGTTGAGAAACTGAGAAGAGGCGAAGATTTGGGATTCCCTCAGCGAATAAAAGTCGCCACAGTGCCTGAGATTGACATGAGCAAGTATCAAGTTCAGCCTCCGGCAGTTTCCAGCCAAGAGGAGAGGGAAAATTCCGTAGTGGAAGATGAAGAGGAGTCGCGATTGAACTCTCTGAAGAGCAGCGTGGCAATTCGTCACTGGACAGTGGAGGAGCAGAAGAAACTGGAGAAACTCCTCACTGAATATCCTCCGGAGCCGGTTGAGACGAGGAGATTCGCGAAGATCGCTCGCGCTTTGGGGAATCGAACAACTCAACAGGTGGCAAGTCGCTGCCAGAAGTACTTCAAGAAGCTCCGCAAGGTTGGACTTCCCATTCCTGGCCGAAATCCAAAGAGTGTCATCCGTCAATCGATTGCCAAGATGAGGTGCTTCAATGGAGTAAAGTCCACCTTCTTTCCGGATCTGCAAGTGCCTGTGCACATGAATGAGGACGACGATGAGTTCTGGCCGCAAGCGTCCTCGCTGAAATCGTCACAGGAGGAAGACACGTCTTCCCGCGACGAGGAGAAGTACATCACGGTGGACGATACGGACGACGAGGAACCGCACAGCTCCCAGGCAGCGATCATGAAGCTGGCCAAGCGAATACAAGCCGAGAAGAAGAGGGATTTGGAAGACAGACCAACAAGCTTGCATACTGGATATGAGGTCGCAATCCTCCCTGCTTCTAGTGAGATCCCAACTAACCAGAGCATATTCTTTTACAGTGCAATCTCTGCAAGGAAGAGCCTCTCCAGGGGACCCGTTGGCACTGCAAAATGTGTGAGGAATCCACGGATTACTGCACCGACTGCCTCTTCACGCAACTCATGGAGCCCAATCTTCAGCATTCTCTCGCACACAAGTTCATTGCTCTTCGCGTGCCCCCGAGTACTCCTCAGATCCGATAAGTGTTCCTGGAAACCAATATTTGGCGGCCAGAGAGAATCCAGTCAAATGCGAACAGAAACGCCCGCCAATTGTTGACTACAGTATCGTGTTGTGCAGTTGAAGACATGATTAGAGATAAAGTAGCGCAATAAATAGCTTTAATCGAGCATTATCTCTTCAATTGGTGTTCAATTTCAATCGAGAGCGAAGATGATCCCACTAGTGTGTCTAGTTGCCGTGCTTCTTCTTTCCCCTGCCTTCGCATCAGTTCCTCTTGTTATCAATACTTGGAACTTCCGGGAGGCTAACTTTCAGGGTAACTCGGCTTCTTTGCAATCTTCTTCAATCGCTTTTACTCATTTTATTCCCTTTCTGCTCCACAGCATGGAAAGCCCTGTACAAAGAGGGTCGAACAGCTCTTGATTCTCTCGTTTCCGGGTGTAGCGTGTGTGAAATTGTCCAATGCGATAGTTCTGTAGGATTCGGAGGCAGTCCGGATGAGGCGGGCAACACGAGCCTCGACGCAATGATCATGGATGGGCGGACAATGAATGTGGGCGCTGTGGCAAATGTGAGAGATGTGAAGAATGCCATTGGAGTGGCCAGGCACGTCCTGGAGTACACTCGCCACACTCTCCTGGCCGGAGATCAAGTGTCGGACTTTGCCAAGGAGATGGGATTCACTCTGGAATCCCTCCAAACGCCCGCTTCTCGGCAGCAGTGGCAAAATTGGGTGGCCAACAACTGCCAGCCCAATTTTTGGGTGGTGAGTAGCAATTGAGGGTTAGAATCTGGAAAGTTGACTGGAAAATGTATCTTTTTCGCGCCACTTTTTAAATTATTCTAACGAACTTTTCAGAACGTCGCGCCAGATCCCAGAAGTATCTGCGGTCCTTATGAACCCATATGCAAGAACTCCATTGAGGATTGCATTGAGCCGGGCAATCGGGAGGACTTCGAGATCGGTCCAGATAATCACGACACCATTGGAATGATAGTGATCGACAAGAAAGGCCACATTGTTGCTGGAACATCCACAAATGGAGCTACTCATAAAATTCCCGGGTTAGTGACCTCAGCTCACATGTATTTTCCGTACTGAGAACTTTCTTGGCGTTCCTTCCAGACGCGTTGGAGATTCTCCGATTGCGGGAGCTGGAGCGTATGCTGATGACTATGTCGGCGCCGCGGCAGGAACAGGCGATGGGGATATTATGATGAGATTTATGCCTGCTCTGCTCGCTGTTGAGGATATGCGGAGGGGCGTGGAGCCAGCGATGGCAGCGGAGAATGCTCTGCGTCGAATTGCTCAGTACTATCCCACCTTCTCCGGGGCCCTGATTGCCGCCACGAAGACTGGCGAGTACGGAGCTTCCTGCTTCGGCATGAACTCCTTCCCATACGCAGTCACAAATGAGGCTTACAACATGAGGACCACAACTCTCACCGTGCAGTGTTTCACGCTGTAATCTGTTAAATAAAATAATCCTCATCGACATCCTCATCTTCGGTTTCCAGGCGATCTCGTCTAATCTGGTCTAAAGTGCCAGAAAAATTCCAACGGTACTTTTGGGCGGAATCGGGCAGCCATCTTGCTTTCTCCCGAACGCGTTCGGTTCTTGGGTGAAATTCGCAGCGAGATGACAATATTTTTGGGTGGAATTTGCGAGAGTTTTTTGGCCCAAGCGCTCGTCCTAAAGTGCTAATTTACGTGAATTTTGCATGTTTAATCACAGTAAATTACACGAGACTGTATTTTGTTCGCACTGAGACGTCGAGAGAGTGTGAAAAGTGAGCAAAAAGTGGATTATTTGGGTGGAAAAGTGAGATGTTTTGAGTGGCTTGGCGCCAAATGTCAGATGCTGAGGATTCTTCAGCGTCTTTCCCCCGCTAGTGCCGAAATCCGAGAAATCACATAGACACGAGACAAAAGCTCTTCCGACGGAGTTGGAGAGAGCAGAAAATCCGACGACAAGGACACCCCTGAGGACCCGAGTGGGTTGCATGTTGGCCCCCTTGGCGGGGTGGAAAGCATCCCGTGACGCGGGAAGAATCTGAGTGACAAGACCACCCGGGAAGCTTTACCATGTTCTATGCACATATTGTGTTGGCCAAGAAGGGGCCGCTGGCCAGAATCTGGCTCGCGGCACACTGGGACAAGAAGCTGACCAAGGCCCATGTGTTTGAGACCAACATCGAGCAGTCCGTGGACGGCATAATGCAGCCCAAAGTGAAGCTGGCCCTCCGGACGTCAGGCCACCTGCTGCTGGGCGTCGTGAGGATATACTCGCGCAAGGCCAAGTACCTCCTGGCGGACTGCAATGAGGCCTTCGCGAAGATCAAAGTGGCCTTCCGGCCGGGCATCGTGGATCTGCCGGAGGAGCACCGGGAGGCCGCCGTGAATGCCATCACGCTGCCAGAGGTCTTCCACGACTTCGACACAGCCCTGCCGGAGTTGAATGACGTGGACATTGAGGCGCAATTCTCCATCAACCAATCTCGCGCGGATGAGATCACAATGCGCGAGGATTACGGCACTCTGCCGATGTCCATCCACGATGATGGCTTCGGAGACATGGGATTCGACGCGGACACACCCGATCTGGCGCGTGACGGCATGGATCCCAACATGGATGAGAATCTCTTCGGGGAGGATCTGGGCGCCAGCAGCATAGACCACACGAAAGAGCCCGTGCCGGGCACATCGCGCTCGATGATGGAGAATCTGGCCCAGGGCGCGATGGACGATGGGTTTGGGCAGGAGTTTGGCCAGCCCGCGGCGGGACTGTTCGAGGGTGACATCTTCACGGACGCCCCGATGGCGTCAGCGAGTCTGCCGCCGGTCACGCAACACTCAGTCTCGGATTCCGACGATGACATGGACCACTTCGACGGCGGCGCTCCGTCGCTGGGCGACTCCACGGAGTTCCAGCCGCCCAGCGTGATGCCTGGCGCGGCTCCGGGCGAGTTGGCTGGCAGCAGTCCGGTACATCGCTCCGGTTCCGCCATGCAGGCTCTGTCACCGGGCAGAATGGTGCTCGAGGGAGAGCATCAGCTGGCTCTGGGCCCGGACGGGCTGCCCACTGATCCGGAGGGAGGGCACGAGCAGGGAGGCAATCTCACGAATGAGGAGGAGAGCTTCGCATTGGCGCCCATCGATGCCACGGCGCTCAAGGGTGTCACGAAGCACAAGCGAAAGCGGAAGCTTATCGTGGACGAGGTGAAAAACATCTCGGGCGAGGAGATGAAGAACCAATTGGCCAACACAAGTGACATCGTCACGACGCTGGACTTGGCGCCACCCACGAAACGCCTGATGTTCTGGAAGGAGACGGGCGGCGTTGAGAAGCTCTTCGCGCTCCCGTCGCGAGACATCCGTGCCATGAGTCTGTCCAAGAACTACCAGCGCAACCTCGCGTCGCGAGCCATTGAGCTGGAGGACTTCTCCGTGCTGGGCCCAGTGGAGGTGTTGGCGCCAGAGCAGCCACGCCACGAGGAGCCCGAGCCGCCGGTGACAAAGCGAGGGCGGAAGAGGAAGCAAGTGCCGGAGGTGGAACCGCCCACGCCCGCACTGCCGGATCCGGATATGAGCTTCGATCAGGCGCGCGTGGGTGACTGCGATCCCTCGCTGATGCCACCGCCGCCCACGTCCGGCATGCATCACCTGGCGAGCCCCAACAGCGGCGCTTTGGGGCCTCTGACGCCAGGACTGCCCATGACGTCCGGCATGATGCTCACGCCGGGAATATCAATGACTCCGGCGGGACTTCACGGGGACCTGGGCGAACTGGACCACGGAGTAATCACACCGCACCACGCCATCGAGAATATGGAATCGATTCCGAATCTGGCTGCCGACCAGGTGTCGTCGATCCTCAACGGCACCGCCATGGAGAATATGGGCTTCACCAACATGGGCTACGAGGGACACGGCAGCCCGCGGACGGGGATGTCCGAGAGGGTGCCGAACGACTGGAACGAGGACTATGACTTCCCGCCCTCCGTTGGCCATGTAAGTTTGATCTCTGCGGCGATTTTAGGATAGTTTATAGAGGTTTTGTGTCGCCTTGTGAGAAATAGGTTGATTGAAACTTGATTGAAGATTAGTGATGTTTGATCACACATTCGATCTCTCATGATCATAAAGTCTGTGTAATTGCGAGATTGAAGTTGAAACCTGGAATGTGCTGTGGTTGTTAGCACCAATATTAGCTAATTGAATATTCATATCAGTCGATATGTGATCTTTCGTTCGCTTCTGATTGGCAAATTAACAAGATCCAGCGTTTTTTTGAAGTGTGATAAAGAAAGATAAACACTCCTTATTAATTATTTGGTATTTTTGTGGCTATTTTCAGCTCGGCGAAGAACAGCTGGAGAACGAAACTGACGAACAATTCGAGGAGAGAGTACTGAATAAGCGCGCTGCCCAAATGTTTGTTGCCGTGAAGAGGAAACTCTTGAAGTCGGAGAGCATACAACTATCCGAGATGACCTACCGCAACTCTAAGAAACAGGTAAAACTTCTGCCTCTGCAATCATTTTCGCATCTGATCACTGAATGCTTTGCGATCTGTTTTAGGCCTCTCAGAAGTTCTACTCTCTGTTGGTGCTGAAGAAGTTTGAAGCACTCGAAATCAAGCAGGATGAGCCTTTTGGTGACATTTTGGTAACTAAAGGTGTTATGTTTGATAACCCTAAATTGTAAGTGTAATATTTAGGAATGTAATGATATTTCGGTGTCAGTCTTTTAAATTTCATTCAGAGTGAGTGATTTTGCATTCTTTTCACTTTTGAGATGTTTTATTTAAAAAAAGAAACCTTCGGAATTTACATAAAAGTCTATCATGAGATTGTGTGTGTGAAAAATTCATGGATATTTATTTTAGGAAGTAACACAAATGTAATTGAGTTCAATGAATCGAATATTTTCCTTTTAGTGTGAGTAAAGTAATTGTCCAATTTTCTTATTTTCCACCCTTGAACGTGGACATTGAATATTTCTCGTGCCGATGAAAGAATTTATCGCGTGAAAATACTCTTTATTTCCACCGTGAAACACTCTGAGCAACATTGAGAGCTCCAAAATTGTATAAAAATGTCACTTTTATATCATTGTCATTGCGGGTTCATTTATCTGTTCTATTGACTGCAATATTGATTATCTTCATATCCAGTGAAAAGGTTAAAAAAGTTTGTTAAATGAGCAAATGGAAAATTGATTTTACCAACAAAAAGACAACATTCGAGAGAAGTTATTGACACAATTTACCAGTGTATCAGCAGAAATGTTTTGTATTAGCACATTTTTCTAATTATTTATACCTTGATTAGTGACTTTTATTGAGAGTTTAGGAAATTAGCATGAAAGGACCATCAAAATGCTTCTTTATTGGGTAATTTCACAACTTTCATAAAATTCACTTTCATGTGTTACAGAAAAAGCACATAACATTGTTAAGTGGAAGGAATTCTTTTATTACTAATAATATGCATGAACGTCAATAAAGTCAAAATAAGAGAAAAATGTACAAAACAAGTGAATTTTTAAATCAATTGGTATTGAAATAAAATGATAAAAGAGAAAATATGAATAAGACAGAGAATTTCAGAATTATTAGTTTAGAATAGTAGAATATAGTGATATTTAAGAGAGACATCTTGTACATATGACATGTTAGGAGTATAGAAAATAATCATAAATAAGGCTAGAGTAAAGACAAAGTGTTAATTGAAGATGTTTAAGTAGAAAATACACTATAAGATTACTTTTGTCTCTAGAGGTAGTTAATTAATACTGTAGCAACTGAAATATGTATAACATAAAATTTAGATTTTTATTGAATACTGTTAAAATACCGTCTAAGAAGAAAATAAATGCATGTTTAGAAGCAAATAGTGAAGAATGCTGGTCAATCTGGACTTGCTCGCCCCTCAAATTAAGCTCCCAAAGTCGGGGAAATTATGCAAATTAGTGCGAGAGGAAGAGCTTCCAGTGTGAGTTATTTGAGCTATTTTCCAACAAAGAGCTCAGCTGTTAAATTGAGAATCAGTTGCTCGCGTGGGAAAACCTTGGCGAGTGAATCTGTGGGGAAAACGCTGCTGAACTCTCTGGATTGAGAAAATTCAGCCGGAAAGGCAGCGGAGCCAGCAAAAAATGTTCGCCGGTGTTCGGCTGGAAAAGCTCGCGGTGCCAAATGGGGGATTCTCTGATCATGCTGGCAGTGATAGACTCAGATGATCAGTCGCCAGTCAACATCGGGCTCGCTAATAATCATCACATGGGCAACCACAGAATCTCGTAAGAAAAATCAGATACAGCAGCATTGCTGGACCAGTCAAACTTGATGTAAATCAGCATTTTAAGTTGTTCAACACGAAGTGCAATTGACGAAAGCCGCCTTTAGTGTGACTAAACGTGAGATTTTGATTCAAAAATTTTTGTGGAGTAAAAAAGTGAAGATTTATGATTGTGTGATCAAAGGGAAAAAAACTGTAAGTTTAGCAAATGTTCAACCCTCTTTATTCAGTGTAAATGTAAAATGTCATTTCCGTCCGTAAACGATAGATTTTTGAAATATCACGGCAATTTTACACGACTTTCGCGTGTTTGCCTTTTGCAAAGTTGTTCATTTTGTATGGGGAAAATATGATTATTCCACAATTAAATGATCATTCTGTCCACAGAATTTCATGCGGCCTTGAGCTTCTTTTTTTGCAATTCTAACTTCACCTCGACTGTATTTTTGGTCTTTTCTTCACAATTTAACTAATCTCTCGTGAAAGAAATTCGCAAATGATCAGTTTTTTTCTGCTAATTCCACCGATTGAGATAATCAATTGAGGAGAAGTTATTAGTAAATCCTTGAAATTCTGGTTTTTTTGTGAAATCTCAACACTCTTCACCATGGAAAAAAGTTAATTATTCCGCAAAGTTACATAATTCACCGCTCAAAACTCGCAAATTTCAGTGCATTGTTGCTGACAGTTTGGATTAACTTTGCGACTCTGGCTGAATTCATCCCAACAATCATTCTATTTTGTACTCTTTGAGCCATCTCACTAATTGAATTAAGCCTGAAGAGCGACAATAAAGCAAAATGGTTTTTCGTGAGCAGAATCTCAATTGAATTTTGGAATCGTTACTCTGAAAATTGTGGGAAACTTGCTCTTTGAACTTCTTCAAATTTCTGAGGCTCATGCATAAAATTTTATGTGATCTGTGGAAAAAAGTCATATAATAAACCAACGTTAGAAAAATTATCTCATTCTCGTTAGACGACACAAAAAGAGCTTTCAATAATCGTGTTTATTAGATGGGGTTTTTCAACTTTTCATTAATCTTCTTTTATGAATTTGGTTAGCACGCAAAACAAACAAGCACGGGTGTAGACTTTTTCAATAACTCTTTTCCGTCACCACGAGCGCTGGAATGGGTGAGAAAAGTGATTTTCCAGCGAGACTAATTGAATAGCCAATTCAGTGTGGCCCAGAGGAAAAACCACCATGTGAGATTGATAAACTGATAAATTGATTTTTCCCGCTTCTGGAGATTTTTCAGTGTGAAAATATGGAAGCGGAACAGGAAAAGAGCGCAAAAACGATTCAATGGAGAGAGTTGGGCATCCTGGGTAAGCTCCAGTACATTTGGAACAATATGACTGTGGAGCCTCTCCTGGCGCTGTACATAATGCCCAGCATCCTTTCGGCTCTGGCCACGCAGAATCTCAACTTGGAGAAGGCGTGCCGCGTGAATCTGGCCTACGGAGACGAGATTTGCGACGCTCTGTCGCGTCGAGACACCGCCAATTATACTCAGTAATGCGCCGCTCAATGTCCCTGTTTTCGCGCCAAATCTCTATCATTTGTCTCTTCTCGCCTCCCCGGATTCACCAGAGAGGAGCAGGTGGTGCAGCAAATCGTAGCGAAGATGGCTGGGTGGAAAACCATCCTCCAAAGCGCACTGCCGTGTCTCCTCATCCTCTTCTGGGGCTCCTGGAGCGATCGCCACGGACGCCGGAAGCCCTGCATGCTGATCCCCATCGTGGGAGAGCTCCTGTCCGCGCTGGGCCTCATCCTCTGCACCTACTTCGAGTGGCTGCCCATGGAGGCTAGTGGAATCACTGAGGCCCTCTTCCCTGGCCTCACCGGCGGCTGGTTCACGCAGATGATGGGCGTCTTCAGCTACATCGCCGACATCACGGACGAGGAGAACAGAACGCTGCGAGTCGGCATTGTGCATCTCTGCGTGAGTCTGGGCTTTCCTCTGGGAATGGCTCTAAGCGGAATATTACTTAAGTGAGTTTTTCAAATATTAACCTACAGTATTTATCTAAAACTCTTTTTGCTGAACTCCCAAAAACAATAACCTTCCGCAAAGCACAAAATGCGCGTTAAATTCAGTGACAGTGACCTACAATCTTTTTAACATCTACAGAGTTCCTACTAAAATTCAATGCAAACATAGCTTAATATTTTAACAAAAACTTATTTACAGGGTAGTAGGATTTTACGGGATATTCTCCATCTCGTCCGCAATGTACTCAATCGGCCTCCTCTACGGCATTTTTTGCGTGAAAGAGCCCAAAAAGGACATCAAACCACCCAAGAATGCCGGCAAGAATGCTCTAATGGACTTTTTCGACAAGGCGCACGTGAAGGAAACTTTCACGGTCGCCTTCAGCGGTCGCAATCGGATCCGAGTTCTCATGCTGATCGTCGTTGTGATGGTCGTCATTGGGCCAATGCACGGTAAGCGACATTATGTCAGAGTAAATGCGATAATTAATATCAGGGCCGTTCAATGTCAGCGCACAATTTGCTTTCTTACGCCTCAAATATGCGTGCAAATGGAAACGGAAGTGGCTAATCTTGAACAATTGAAGCAAGATCCAGAAGGATGAGCTTTGAGAGTAATTTGGCACATTTTGTGTACCAATGATTGGAAAGTCAGATGCAATTATTTACGACCTTCAAGCCTGCATTGAAGCTCTCTTTGCCTCTCAATGGCCAATGGCTTTGTGCGCGCAATCAATTTGCCATCAATGAAATTGTGCACCTTGTATAATGACCCAAATATCGAAATTGCTTTCCCAACCGATTTGCATGACTTCTCTCAAGCGCTTCACCATTCCTCTTTGCAGGCGAAATGTCAGTCTTCTACCTGTTCACAAGATACCGCTTCAATTGGAGTGAGGTCGAGTTCAGCTTCTTCTCCACCTACAGCATGATAACACACTTTATCGGTACGACGCGAGAGTTATTCAATTTGCTGATAATAGTGAAAATCAATTACCGCTCATTATGTCATCCAATAGGCACCTCATTCAGCGTGGGAGTCTTCTCGCGCCTCCTCATGCTCGATGATGCGCTAATTGGGGTAATTTCTTGCATGTCGAAGATACTCTCGTCCTTTATGTATGCATTCGCCGTGACGGAGTGGCAACTGTATTTGGCGCCCATCATTGAGTTCCTCAACGGCACCAGCTTCATTGCAATGCGATCAATTGCATCGAAACTCGTGTCCACCAGTGAATTGGGAAAGCTCAACTCTCTGATAGGAGTTGCTGAAGCTCTCATGCCTTTAGGTAAGACTTTGCAAAGTGGATCAAACGCAAGTATACTCTCAAGGTTTAGGTGCACAAATTACAATCTCACTCAAGTGCAGAGTTATTAACTAAAGTTGCTGTCGGTTACAGTTTATGCGCCAATGTATACCAATGTTTATGCGGCTACAATGAAGAGCTTTCCAGGAGCTTTCTTCGTCCTCGGAGGCGTTTTGACTCTTCCCGCCGTCTTCATATTCTGGTAGATCTCAAAAACCTCTCCAATCTCACCGCTGAATCTAACAATTTCTCTCTGATTTTAGCTTTATGTACAAATTGCACAAGAATGATAAAATCCAGAGTGCGAACGAGAAACCAGAAAATGGACAAACTTCCATTGCCGACAATGCCAATGGCAAGACCTATCTTTCCTACGATAATCCGGGATTTATGAAAGAGAAATCAATTGACATTGTGCGTGTTGAGCACTTGGAGCAATCGAGACTGTGATATTTAATATGTATCTCTTTATATACACTTTTACCATGTTTATCAACTCTCAACTCTTTAGGGAATAAAAAGAACACCTCATCGGATGTATTGTGTGAAAAAAGGTCTTTTAATAAACCAGAGAGCATGCTATTGTACCTATTATAAGGTTTATTTCCGCGAAAAGCGATATTAAGCAATTACTTGCGAAATTCAATTAGTTCGTTGGTAAAAAAATATTCCCCATCTTTCTCGTTCCAGAGCACCAAATATTACCTGACCATCCCAATCAATAATATAGGAATGGGTGAGAGAGATAATAAATAATTTATTACATGTTCTTCAAAGTGATAATTTGATAAGTTCGCAAGGAGAGCGACGGGTATAAAAGAAGACTTCGCGCTGGGAACGAGTGTAGTCTCTATTGATCCATCTGCAGGTGTACTTTCAGTTCAAAAGGTGTAAACAGTGTTGCTCTTGTGTGGTGATTTAATGTGACTGCTTTGTGATTTACAATGAGAAGATTCTGGGGAGGAATACTCGGAGTTGTGGCGCTCTTGGCTTCACTCCAGCCTCTTCGCTGCCACCCGAGAGTGTCAGGAACTTCCGCGCGCGAATCACTCCGAATGATTCCTGAAACAGAGATGATTGACATCCTCAACACCTACAACACTGAGGCCATTGGATACTGCAATGCTCAGTCTCTCGCGAATTGGGATGTGCAAACCAACGTCGGAGATCAATCCTACGTACAGATTCAGGTATTTTTTTTATCATTCGAGTACTGGCTCATTATCTAGAGAAGAATGCTTCAGATAGCACTTTATTGCGTGAGTGCTTTCTTGTGACAACTCTCGAGATACGGCCAAAATTGCATAAATTTACTGTCGAATAATAATCCAAATAATCTCACGTAAACACTCCAAGTCACGGGCGAACAGAAAAACAGCAGATATTTCTTTCTGGGTCACAAATGTGCCATATTTTAAAAAAACCCAGTGAACTTATTGAATTTTTATGAGTTCAATAGCTCAGCAAAAGGTGACGAATTGATAATGTCCATATTGAGATAGCTGCCAATACTTGACTGATAGTTTCACTATGACGACACAGAGAATACACAAATATAATCTCTTATGAAACACTTAATATGAGATTCCATATTTGCTATCTATTGTCGAATTCAATGATTCGGAATAGATACTTATATTGCAAAGATAAGAAGTTGTGAAGTCAAATATATTATTATTATTCTATTGCATGCCCTAAACTTGTAGATGTTTGAAGTGTTTTATCCTTGGTTTTATCTCAATATCTGATTTCCAGGTTGAGAGGTCGCTGGCCTATGCAAACTTCCGGAAGGAACGCTACGAACAATACTTCAGGGATGCCATTATCGATGATTACATTGACGAAGATGTTCGACGTCAATTGCGGTTCCTTAAAGATTTAGGATCATCTGCACTTTCAGATGAGGATTTGGAGAAGGTTAGTCATTGGTTTATCTCAACACTTCATACTATCAAATGATGAATTACGTTGTTTTTTCTCTTTCAAGTTTACGACAACCAGAAATGCCATGACATCTATCTACAATTCCGCGAGAATATGCCCGTACACTCAGCAGGATTGCGAGAGCATTCCCAACTTCGACCAGTATCTCACTCTGGATCCAGAGATTGAACTGCGAATGGCCGAGTCGCGAGATTACGATGAGTTGCAGTACATCTGGACAGAGTGGCGAGAAAAGACTGGGAAGTTGATGCGAGAGGACTACAAGGAGTACGTGAGCCTGATAAACCAAGTGGCGGTGGCTAATGGCTTTCCCGAGGCCGGAGAAATGTGGCGAGCTCGCTATGAAGAGGAAGACTTTGAGAAAATCGCCGAGGATTTGTGGGAACAAGTTAAGCCGCTCTACAACGAACTCCACACCTACGTCAAGCTCAAGTTGGAACAGATTTACCCGGGTAGATGGGACACTCGACAAGATACAATTCCCGCTCATATCCTCGGAAATATGTGGGCGCAATCCTGGTCGCATTTGTATGAGGATTTGAAGCCCTTCAAGAATGCTTCTCTTGTAGATGTCACGGGAAAAATGGTGGAACTCAACTACGATATCTTGAGGATGTTCGAAGACTCAAACAACTACTACTTAAGTCTGGGATTGGGAGACAACAGGATGAGTTACACTGGCCAGTCTATTGTCGAGAAGCCCGAAGATAGGATAATCGCTTGCCATGCCTCCGCCTGGGATTTCTGTGACGGAGAGGATTTTCGTATCAAGATGTGTACGAAAATCAACATGAAGGACTACAACACCGTCCACCATGAAATGGGCCACATCAACTACTACCTCCACTACAGGCAGCTTCCGCTTTTGCTCAGAGGCGGAGCCAATCCGGGCTTCCACGAGGCTGTCGGAGATGCCATTTCCCTTGCAGTAGAGACTCCCCAACATCTCCTACGCGTCAATCTGCTTGACGAATACGGTGACACGGAGGAGGATAACATAAACGCCCTGTTCAATATGGCTCTGGAGAGAGTCGCCTTCCTTCCGTTCGGATACTTGATCGACAAGTGGCGGTGGGATGTTTTCCGCGAAGCCGTCACAGAGAGCGAGTGGAATAGTCACTGGTGGGCTCTACGCCGGCAGTACCAGAAGATCTCCGAACCTGTTCCGCGGTCGGAAGAATACTTCGATCCCGGCGCCAAATATCACATTCCTGCTGACTCTCAGTACATGTCCTACTTCACGGCGCGCATCCTTCAGTTCCAGTTCTACAAAGCCATGTGCATCGCTGCCGGTCAGTACGATCCCGCGAACCCACAAGCGCTGCCCCTGCACAAGTGCAATTTCTACGAATCCGTGCCGGCGGGAGATAAGCTGAAGGCTGGTCTGCAACTAGGCACCAGCAAGCACTGGTCGGAAGCTCTAGAGGCTATCACAGGATCCAGAGCAATGGACGCTAGCGCTTTGCTTGAGTACTTCCAACCACTCTATGACTTCCTTAAGGTTGAAAATGATAACCTACGCAATGAAGCCATGCGGGAAACTCTTGATCAGTACAACGTTGAAGCAGCAGAAGAAGCTGGGAAAATGGTTCACGCCAGTTGGGACGTATCAACGAATGTAGGCAACACAGAAATTCAGGATCAGTACAATGAAGCCGTTCTTGAATACGCCAGATTTAATAGGGACAAATTCGATACCATCTTCAGTGGCCTCAATCCGGATGATTACTCAGATGAAAACGTTCGTCGTCAACTACTGTATTTAACCAAGCTCGGTACCAGCATTCTTTCAGAGAGCGATCTCAGCACACTTACTGCCGCCAAACTGCGAATGGAAAGCACTTACTCCGATGCGAAGATTTGTCCCTTCACCAACAGGGATTGCAATGTCAACACAGATCCTTATCTCACACTTGACCCAGAAATAAGTGAAGTCATGGCAACCTCCACGGATGCCGATGAACTGGAATATGTGTGGAAAGAATGGCGCGAAAAGAGCGGCAAGCTTATGAGAACTGACTACCGAACCTACATTGATCTGTCCAATAAGGCAGCGGTGGAGAATGGTTTTAGCGATTACGGTGACATGTGGCGCTTCGATTATGAAGATCCCAACTTTGAGCAGAACATGGAGGATCTTTGGACTCAAGTGGAGCCTCTCTACAACACTCTCCACACCTACGTTCGCCACAAACTCATCGACATCTACGGAAGCGATAAAGTGAAGCTGGACGAAGATTTGATTCCCGCCCATCTTCTTGGAAACATGTGGGCTCAATCTTGGGACAATTTGTACGACAGGACCAAGCCGTTCGAAGCGAGTGTGGTCGACGTTACTCAAAGCTTAGTGGTAAGTTTTTCAAGTGCAATTTAGCTGAATTTGTAATGAAATCCCTATGATTTTTTTCAGAATGCAGGATATAACGCTCTCAGGATGTTCCAAGTATCCGATGAATTCTTCATGTCTCTCGGGCTGCCATCGAACGAAATGAGTTACTCTGAACGGGCAATCATAGAAAAACCGACTGATCGAGTCATTACTTGTCATGCTTCCGCCTGGGATTTCATGGATGGCGAAGATTTCCGTGTGAAAATGTGCACCAACATCAACATGGGTGACTTCATCACTGTCCACCATGAAATGGGTAATAAATCCTCCCGGTTCCTGAATCTTAGGACATAAACTTATGTTGCTTCCTTGGCAGGTCACATTTCCTACTTTATTCTCTACAAGGATCAACCAGCTGTGTTCCGCGGGGGAGCTAATCCTGGTTTCCATGAAGCCGTCGGCGATCTCATCGCCTTGTCAGTGTCCACACCCACACATTTGCAGAAAATTGGGCTCCTCCAGGATTACGCTGACACGCAAGAGGACAACATTAACGCTCTGTTCCAAATGGCTCTGGAGCGAGTGGCTTTCCTGCCCTTCGGCCTATTAATTGACAAGTGGCGCTGGAACGTGTTTAGCGGCCAAATCCCAGAATCGAGCTGGAACACCGAATGGTGGAACATGAGGAAACGCTACCAGAAAGTTGAGCCGCCCAACGGAGAAACGCGTGGAGAAGAGTTCTTCGACGCTGGAGCTAAATACCACGTTCCAGCCGACAGCAAATACATGTCCTATTTCGTGGCTCACATCCTCGAGTTCCAGCTCCATCGTGCCATGTGCATCACTGCTGGCCAGTACAATCCCAGCAATCCCACACAGAATCCGCTCCACAAGTGCGATATCCACAACTCCCTCGAAGTGGGAGAGAAGTTGAGAGCTGGCCTCTCGCTAGGGCTCAGCAAGCACTGGTCCGAGGCTCTCTTTGCGATGACTGGCGAGAGAGAACTGAGCGCGGATGCCCTGCTGGAATACTTCAGCCCACTTGTTGACTACCTCCAAGAGGAGAATGAGAAATGGGAGCCCAAGGAGGAAACCAGCAACAGGATTCCCGTAATTGTGGGATCAGTGATCGGCGCTCTTCTCGCCGTGTGCATTATAGGATATGGCATTTACCTGTACAGGAAGAAGAGGTTGGCGAAGAAGAACGTTGGCCAAATAACGCCCGATGAGAAGTAATGAGATGCAGTACTAAAATTTATATGCTTTGCTGAAACCAAATAAATACCCTATCTGCCACAAGGTGGCGCCTTAATATAAATTTTGAATTTAACCGACTACTTTCATCCGCTGCCGCGAGATGTCAGCTCCAGTATTATTAAATTATGATTGGAATTTGTACAATGATTTTCGCTACAACAATTGTTTGGCATCATTACTTTATAGAACATTATCTGTCTAACTGAAATGTGAAAAATTTCAGTAGCAAGTGATATTTAGATTTTCACATTTTTTACCCTTCGCTAAGTGTCGATTGAATTATCACAAATTCGATTACATTGGTCGTCAGGAATAACAAGTGAAAAACAAACTCGCTAGAATCAACAACAAATTTACATTCGAAATATGATTAAATGGGAAAGGATATAAACTCTCACTTGACCTGGCTGGAAAACAGAATGAGGAAAAAATACACTTCCCGAAGGCGAATTGCTTTCTCAGCTTCGCTGCAGAAGCCCTATTTCAAGGGGGAAAATCAATAAAAATTTCTGTGAAAAAGTCATTGTAATTTAGCATTTACACATTTTTCCATACATTTTGCAAAATGTGTGTCGTAAGCTCTCAAGTTCCGGTTCACGCAATCTTCCACTTCCGATACAATGTGATTCTTTATTTTCGTTCAACTATTCTGAGCCAACATTCAACTCCATTTTTTCTGCTCGAAGTGGAAGATTTTTGCAAACGAAGAGCAATTATTGTGCGAAAGTGCACTTAAAAATCTGTTGATTACCAAATATCAGAATGCATTATTCGACTAGTAGAAATGTTACATCAAATATGATAAACCAGACTGGCTTATCCCGTGGAAAAGGTGATTTTTTTTTGCGAAAACACACTTCACCATCGCAGATATATGCATACCTATGATACTCATTTGTGTGCTGATGTAGTAAATAACTTTCTTTTGATCTTTTCATGCGTATACTTCTATTACGCTAGAATAACAGCCTTTTTTTGTACAAGAATGTTTTTGAAATTACATGACCACATATACGTTTTTTCATCTCGCTCGCTCTCGGTGAAAAAGACGAATGGAAAAATCAAATTTATGCCATTTGCAATTAACAATCTTATATATATTTTTTAAAATATGCATACATTTAAATGTAACAGTATAATTTTATGGTGGGAAATGTGGAGGAAAATGAGCCGGTGGAAAAGGGGGAAAATACAAGGGGGCCCTTTGAATGGGGGGCGCGACACGATGCAAAAATATTGATGGAATGGAGAACATCATCGAAGAAATGTTATTTGTTTATGGTGATGCTGTGTTGGCTCATTTTCATCATTCTGCCATCATCACACATCAATCGGTTCATCCTATTTGCTCTGCCACTGTCAGGGGGTCAGTGCCCCGACTTCCTCAGGGAAAATTCCTTTTTTTTCCCTCTACGCAAGGGAGAGACCAGGGTGACCTGTGTTTGCGACGGATTTTCACCCAAATCAACAAACTTGCCAGGGAATTTGGCCAGCTGATTGACCCCCTGAGCCGCCGAGGCTCCGCGTGGTTGCACCGAACGCGTGTGTGCGTCTTCAGTGGAGTAATTGTAAGAATCTCTCTGTCATCGAAATGGCAAAAATCTCTATGGACTTATATGTATGCACATAGTTTATGTTAGTGCCATCGCCATCGATGAAACAAAATACCAGACATTGTGAGGAGAAGAACAAGTTTGGGATCAACGCTGGCAATCTCATGCAGTTGGGTTGGTTTCTTTTAGAGATCCCCCCAACAGCACACACTCGTCGCGGTGTTGAGTTTTTTGGCCAAAAAGGCTCAACATTGGCAAAATAGCCGTCATAGGTTCAGGCACCGAGGCAATGCACAGATCAATGGACTGACCAACAAAAAGTGACTCTCATAATCAAACTGGTTTGCAACTTTTGCTATTGGGTGTGCAAAAATAGCACGAATCTACCACGGCCTGCATGGACACAAACGGATATGACGAAGACGATGAGATAAAATAATAATATGAAATTACAACAACACGGCAGCTCTTGAGGCAGGGCAAAAAAATTGCGGACAAAACATGAAAATTGCAGCTCCGCTGTCCACAAATAACAGCAAGTACGGTGGAAGGCAAAAAAAGAAGTTGAGGCGAAATGAACACAGGCAGCAGCAGCAGCAGCATGAAAAGATGACAGAGCTTCAAGAAATTGAAGAAAATGATCGTTTGGGATACGATGAACCTAAACTGGTTGACGCTAAATAATATTTACATGCTTAGGTGCCTCCAATAGATGTGTAATGAATATTTTCACATAGGCAGCGAGTTGACCAGCTACATAAATCAACCTTCGGTGTCAATACCACCGGACAAAAGAACCACCGAAACGTCCGCCGCGGAGGCAACAGAGGTGCCGCCCGGCCAAAATTTCACACCTCTCGCGGGGTTCAATGAACAGTCAATCCCTCCGAGAGCCTTTCCACCCGTCCATCCGTCCAGCTGGGGAGCAGCATTGATAGTGCTCCGGCGCGCCAAGACACATCCAGCGCGGAATAGCCGCTATGTTGGCCATAAAAGTTAGTGACTTGAGCACTTTTTGCCTCAATTGCTCTTTGTGGCAGAAATTCAGGAATTCGTCTCAAATCTAAACGTGTGCATGAGATGCATTATTACATACATTGTCTAATATAAAAATACACATCCCAATGCAATTCACCTTCCCTGTGCCTCCACGATAGACACGAGTAATTATTTTTATGTGTAAAGGTGAGTGCACATTTTTCATTGCATCGCGCTTACTAATAATAAAAACTTACCTGTCTAATTGGAGTCATTTTGTTAAATAGTCCCGTTACACCTCAACTGGATTAATTGTGTTGGAGAGGAGAGAAAATTGGCATTAACACATATACAAGGGTGAAATGGCTGGTCGAAAAAAGATGTGGATTCATCTCGCTCCATTGTGCCGACCTACAATGCCTCAAGACCGAAAGGGGCGAGCAACTGACCAAATTTCAAATCTTTAAAATATAATCGCAAAGTAATCGCGTTATTCGAGATTTCGTGAAAGAATCGCTTCGCTTATTTTTTCAAAAGAACTGCAATATTCCCGGAACTATTCACACTATTTTACTCATTTTCAGTAGTTTTCCTCTGATCTCTCAATGTCCCTGTCAGTGTATCTTTGAAATAGAGGAGTCACTCATAATAATACTCTAAAAGACATGGATAAAATTTGCCATTTCACGGATTAAATAGGCAAAGAGCTCTAGTTTTCATAAATACCGGAAAACATATAGATTAACCATTATTCCTGCTTTTATTACTGGCAGAATTGATAGATAACTCACGAAACTCGCGCTTATTTGCAAGATATTGGCTGGTAAATCGCTCAGTTATTCGCCCCGTGCTCAAGAGTGGATCTTGGCTCTGGCGGCAGATGCTGCGTTGATGGATACTGAGATTGTCCACGATCACCTGTGCTTCACTTGATTGGCCTTAGCAAAGAAATAGAAATGACTTATTCAAGTTAGATACATTTTTTCTCGGATATTTGGTAACGCAAAAACCCACCAATTGCGAAATGAGAGTCTCTCACTCAATGCACGTGAGTGTAAATTTAGATATTAATATGAACGACTTCGATACAAGTCAGGCAAGACTTATTGGGAGTGCGAGAGGTAGAAAAAAATGTTTACAGCGATCGCTAATTGTTGGTCATCTGAAAAGGTGTGGTCACATCCCAAATAAGTATATTTCACTCACTTATCTGATGATAATTCTCCTTGTCCCTCGCCTTGTTGGGGAGTGCAGATAGAAGGCAAGCAGGCATGCCTTCCTCCAATTATCTAATCACGCTGCAAGTTCATCTGCAACAGTTGCAAGAGCCCAGAAACCGCGACCGCGCGGCGAGATCCCGGGATCTCGGCGCTGCCGCGGCAACGCTCACATCGAATTTCGCAATTGCATCAATTGTTGTCAAATCATCATCCATTCTTGGGCTCCCCCCCACCACGCGCCCGGGCATACCCTTCCATCTCAAAGTCAATGCTGCGGCCGTTCGGCGGGATTGCGCTCCGCAGCGCGCGAACGGTGTGACGCCGAAGGGCCCAAAAGTGCGGGGCGGCGCGCGGGGGGCGGCGCAAACCGCGGAGTCGAGCGGCTCTTTCGCATTGCCAGCAAATCCGCCCGAGACGAGAGAGTCTCTCCAACATTTCGTGGGCTGCCATTGTGTGTGCGACTTCAAAAAGGCAATTTTAAGCGCTCGAAAATCTATTTTTAAAATTTCATCCACTGCACGGGCCGACCTTGAGTGCGGCCAACGACCATTTGGCCGGTTGGTTCGGTTTGGCATGTTGTTGGTTCGCTGATTCTCATCAGGCTGGTGGCGATGGAGCGCCCAACAGCACAAGATAGTCGGTTTGGTTGGGCGCTCTCAAAAATATTTGCGCTCCGGAGCGACGGACTTTTTTGCCCGTGGAGCCACTCTTGGAGGCTCTCCTCGTCATCCTCGTCTCCGCGACCATTTTTTCGCCATGTCCGCGCGGCGTGCATGCTCAGCGAGTCGGGAAGAGAGCGCGCGGTCAATTTTGTGGGCAACTGCAAAAATAACAATGAGACGATGCGCGGAGAGGGAATGCGAGATTGTTCGGCTGACCTTTCTGCAAATTGCTCACACACTGAACTCCCCAGCGCGCTAATCTGCCAATTTGGCGCTCTCCGCATTTCACTCCGTCGCTCTGACACTGACCGGCGCAATATTTCTTCGCGGCTCCCAAGTCCGGACCGATAAACTGGCCAGCAAAAATGCGGCAGAGTGACCTCGCCGCCTGGCAAAAATGAACAGAGAATTTGGCGAACTCATGGGGCGGTCAGTGACCTTCCACCATCGACTGTGTTGTGCCTTCAAGTTTGTACGCCACGCCAGGCCAATAAAAGTGATTCTTGTGTGTATGAAATGAGGCGCGCGGCTCAAAGCAAAAGTCACTCGCCACTTTACCAATTTACCAACATACCGAAAAACGCCGCCACACCAACACGGCGGCAGCAGAA